AAAAAAAAAAAAAAAAAAAAAAAACAGAGCGGAAATATAGACATTTTAAATATAATGAAGGTTGCTCGATTAGCTGCAAGATAAACAAAGAAACAGGACCAACTTCTTATATCTCGACCAAATAAATCGGTATAACACAACGTATCAAAGGTCATGATCTAACATTTGGTAGCTTAAAAATGGGTACAGAAGGTAACGTAAGGAACATTATTAAATATAGCTTCTCTATGAAATTGAATTAACAGATAATATCACAAACATAAATAAAGCTGACTTGTACATGACTTCAATAAAACTTCTGGTTGTCATTAGTTGCCATCATCTTCCTGTAGACATAAAACACTTTGATCAAAATCAAATAAATTTACCGAGGAGTAGGGATGATAAACAACAAAAAAATTGGAATTTGATTGAAATAATCAAGATTTCGCATGGATAGGAATAAACTGAAAAAAAAAAAAAAATGCAACGTACGCACTAAACTATGTCTTATAAAGGATGAGTAGATCAAGTCTTGGTCTTGTTTTTATAAGTTGCCATGGCTTGTTCGGTTGATTCGAATCATTGATCCGTCATTTTATCACTTTCAGATGTTTCATTCTCATTTTGCAAGTCAAATTTCTTTCTTCAAGCAGAAAACTCCGTAGCCACACTAAGGGTGGTCATGCAAGCATCCAAGCTCAACCTCATTTTGGCGGCGCGTGTATTTCTAATGTAAATACAAACCTCAATCGTATATTTTCTACTTTTTAAATAATAAATTGGTTTGCAGCAACTAGATTGAACTTCAGGGGTAGATAAATAGATACAAAAGGAATGGAGCAGCAGAAGAGAACTATAACCCTCTTACCAAGCTATATTTTACCAAAATCATCATCAAAGACATCATCACCATCATCTGGGAAATCAAAAAACGAACAAAGTTAATAACCATCACTGAAAACAACACAAGAGAATGGGTTTAGTGCTTCTGAATCAATATCCAACTAGGTTTTTCTTTTTTTTTTTTCTTTTTTTTTTTGGCAGGAAAACTAATCGACAGAGGTAAAGTAAACTGAAGGGGTGCATATTTCAATATGCCTTAGTAACAACTAATAGCTAAGCTTTAAAGTTTAAATTGAGAATCTTGAAGTTGATCAACGCATACCACTTGAACATGAACACTCAGGATACATTATGCTGTAATTCTTTAACACCACGAAAAAGGAAGAGTATCTAAAATCTGGTTTGCACACTCATTTGATATTATCTTGGTCTGATTTTTTCAACTTTTTTATACCATTCAGTAACTTCCGGAAAGGTGTCTATTTGGTTCTTTTCCACCCGGAAACTTCGACTCTTCTCGAAATGGCTTATTGGCTTGAAACATGAGATTTTTGAGGAAAATATGCGTAGGTGGCACTAAGGTTGATAATAATTTTACAACAAACAAAATATATGTCTGAATAAGAACAAGAAGTTCTTCCTCAAAATCATTAACAAATCGAATTCCCATAAGCATTTTGCGCCACCCACTCGATAATATCAACCAAATGGGCCCAGGTGCGGTAAAGATATTATTTAATTTTTGAAAGCCAATTAAAATTGGATTAATTGAGAATTTAGATAGAAAGGAAAAAAAAAAATCCATAAGGGAGGATTGCTATATTCCATTTTACCTGGAAAATAATTAGCTTGACAAACGATTGGCCATGTGAAAATGCTCAACAGTTAAGTGAAAAAGACAGTGGGCAAAAGATAGTGACAGAATTCTAGCAAGATAATATGGTTTTGCAGGCTTTTATAGTGTGTACCTGGACCATCATCACCATCTTCCATATCTCCCAGAAGAAATACATCCAAGTCCTGCTCAGAAGCCGGTGACTTCACAGTACTGCTTCTTTGTTTTGAACCCTCGTCTGCTGTTTTTGAAGGCGTTGCACCTGATGAAACTTCCTTCACTTCAATATCTTTTACCGTTTCAGCAGCTTTCAGCTTTAGATGTTCATTGTAACGGTGTTCATATCTGCAAAAGTTGATAGGTTCAGGTCCAAACGAAGCTACTAACAAACGTATACACAGTCATACAGAGACACATGTAAATATCTAGGGAGATGCATTAGATAGTGGATCTCGAAAGAACAAAACCCGATTCATTTAATTTAGAAACCCCATTGTCTAGTATATACAATTTCATCTGTCTCACATGGGCAATAAGTCCAAGAAACTGTCGACAAAAACCAATATTCCTCTGCTGAATAAGCATTGTTAAGCAAAAGATGATGAAGATCTTCTACATAAGAACATAAAATTATTAACATCAAAAGCACATGATTATAGCAAGTACAGAAACTAGTCTCACATTTTGCATCCTGTTTCTCTGGACCAGGATATATAATGTGGCTCTGAATACTATTACAGAAAATTAATAAAATGATCTGAAAAATCAACTCAGAAGTTCAGTACATAATGATTTGATTATAAACAACACAAAACTACGCATTCGTTGAAAATCTTGAAACCTCTTCCCCTGAACTTAAAATCTCAAACTTTTTTTTTCTGTAGGGGAAGTTACTTACTGTGCCACGTGACTGTTAACTAGAATGAAGTAGATCCTCCAGAACTTCCGCTCTTTCATCACTCGTGGACATAATTGATACCTTAGCTTTGAGATTTCCTGAAAGAATATACACAATATCGAAGTTATTAGCTGTCTCATGTCTGATTGAAGAACTTTTAAGTCGCTGTGAATTCATGTAAACTGAAAGGGAGAAACTGATAAGATGAGTCACCAGGCTCTTCCTCTCACTCTCATTTGCAGGTTTTTCATCAAATTTATGGAAAAAAACATTAAGTACACTAATAAAATAGGTTCAAATGAATCACTCCGTCTTATAGTCACAAAGATGCAGGTGACATATGACACAGATATCAATGAATCTAGACTATTTCATTTCATTAAAAGAAAATTAATGGACTGGCTATCTGATCATTCACATTCTATTTTATTTTTTCCTTTTTAAGTTGTGTCCAGTTTGAATTGGGCACAACTGTGAATAAGAACAGCCTAACCTTCACATTTAAGAGAACGAGTTTTGCATGCCTTTCTTGCCACTCCGTGAGGTCCTGTCGCACATTTGAAACCGTAGGAACATCAGACATCTCTGAATCGTCTGCACATAAATACTGGTTGGCATAACTTTTTTGCATAAATTTAAACCCATGGTTAAGAAATTGGAATATGCTTTGTATTTAGGAATCTTTTGGTTTAAAAGTAACTAAGTGCAACAGCACCAATACATCGTGAAAAAGACGAGATAAAAGATCCTTTACTATAAAAAAATAAATAAGAAAAAGAATAATAGAAAAAAGAAACAAACAAATAAACAACACGTTCACAACACTCAGCAGTCAACATTGTTTTCTTCTTCCCCATATTTGTTTTTTTTTCAATTTTAAGAACTATTTGATAAGATGAATGCGATATTACAAAAATAATGAGTGTATCAATGCAATACAAGATGGTGAATGCGGTTTCGCCTGAGCAGGCTAGTCTTCTCCTCTATAAATGTATTTAATCCTCAATTTATTCTGTTTGTACATATTATTGTACCTTGGCATTCAGTTTCTTATTAAACCTACTGATACTTAAACTAAAGAAATCGCACCATTAAAAAACATTTCTACGTAGCATGAGGTGCATGAGTGGAACTATATTACTTCCTTTTTTCATTATGAGAAAATAATTCATTGCAAAAGAAAGTAGCGCCATGATTTCCTATCCTCAAGTGCCTTTCTACAGGTAGCTAGTTAAATTTTCATGTTTGGATTCACAATCTATCCACTATTCTGAGAATAAAAAAACCATCTACCTCCGATAAATAATAATAATAACAATAATAAATAAAAAAAAAAAAACTATCTACCTCCTTGATCCAAGAAAAGTATGAATTCAAAAAAAATCTTCAATCAAAAGATGATTGCCTGAACACATTTTCGGACAAAAGGAATTTCCTACTTCTCGTTATATTCTCTTTTTTAAACAAAGGTTGCTCCCATCTGACATTTAATAGCCCTCATGAATCCTCTTTCATTGCATCCTTCACGATCCTTAAACGACAAGCTCCATAGTTCTCAACACGACTAACTGAACCCTTTATACCAGTGCATTTCAAGAGCCTCAAAATGTACTAGCAAGCAGCTACACATCCCTCTAGTGGGACAATTTGGAGTTTAAACAGAACCCATCAACATGGACAATAACATCTACACACCTTCAACCATAAATTCCCGTAGAACCATAAACAACTTCACAAGTAAAATCACCAACCAAACAATTTTATCCCCATTAAGTCAAATTCGATAAATGGGACCAACGTTCATCATCAAAACAAGGCACCCATAAACAAAGCAGGAGAAAAAAATTCGAAGCAGCAGCAGAGTACCTGCAAGCGGGAAATCCCGGAACGTGTCCGTGGCGATCTCCTTCACAAACCCCCTCAGCTCATCAGTCACCCCGTACTTCTCCAGATCGGCGGTCCCGACACCGCCATCCTGGGCGGCGGACGGTTCGACGAAACCGGACAGAGCGGCGGCGGCGGGCGGATGGATGTAGGCCGTGATCTGATCGGCGCGCCGGAGAGCATCCGCGGCGAGCTCTTTAGACTTCTTGGAGGCCTCGGCCGCCAGCTTCTTGGACCGCTTGGAAGCCTCCGAGACGACGCCGGCGAGGTTCGCGGCGGCGATTCCCTGAGTGAGCTCCTGCGACTTCTTGGCGGCTTCCTCGGCGAAGCTGCGGGCCCTCTGCCAGAAATCCATCGGCGATTGGGGCCTAACGGGAAACGGAGAGTGGACTGAGAATATTTATATCGGGCTCGTGGTTTGGTACGTTGAGTGCAGATTTGACACTTTCATTTTTAGTTTTTAAGAAATTAAAAATTAAAATTACTCTGCACCGCGCCGGCGGGTCGATTCAGAACCGATTCGGTGGGTCATGTAGACCGGGCAACAAAGAAGAAACAACCCCGTCAAACACGGCCGACCCGGTGCATTGACCCGGCCTATATATATTTTTCAATTTTTTATTAAAATAACACTATGCATATATGTTTATATTGTAAATATTATCATGAGATACATTTTATTAATATTTGATGAGCCAAAAAGAATCGACTCACCGAGGTTGCTGGTCGAACCGCTTCATCTCGATTGCGTGAGAGTTCCTGTTTCGATTGCCTTCGTCTTCAAAAACCGGATCGACCTGCAAAGCGCCGGGATAGACACTCCGACGCTCAAGTCAGAAAACAGATATTTTGATAGTGTATATCAGGTAATCTTAAGAGTTTAAGATTAAAAAATGAACCTCGTCTCTTATTTATAAGGGGTTTAATGACTTACTCCCAAGATAATGAGTTTCCTCAACAAACAAGACTCCGATACTCCTCAATAATTGTGCAGATATAGACCAACTTTCATGAATATCTTTAACTAATACTGTGTATCACATAAATTAGCTCTAAACTTCCTCGGACCGGCCTATCCGAGCTAAACGCTCAGGCCGGTCCACCGAGTTATTATTTGTGCTACATCAACTGTAATATACAAATTTTATACACAAAATATTTAATTTTTTTACTTGTATATATATTTATATGACAAAAATCTATATATAATTTTAAAAGTTTTAAAATTAATTATTTAGTTTAACAATAGCCTTTGTGAACCTAGATTTGCCTAGGTCGATTATGGGCCGGGTTTATGG